CCCGATGCGGGACTCGATCCTGGGACTCCAGGATCATGACCTGAGCTGAAGGCAGTCGCTTAACCAACTGAGCCACCCAGGCGCCCCCAGAGCTGCTACATATTTACTTGCTATTTTATTCTTCATACCCTCTAAGAGAAAATAGACTCCCAAGACTTCACTTCTAGATCCCTCGTGCCTCATACTGAGTAGTTGCTCAGTAAATACTTGCTGAGTGAACTTGTCCAAGGTGACACAGCTTTGACCTGAGTCTGTGCTCTTCAATACATAACCGTACACTAGACTGGAAGGTCATGCTCCAAATTCAACAGGTGTCAAAGTGTCTATAGCCCCATTTTTTTTACATTCCTCAGAACACCCCCTTCCCCACTCACCACTACAGGATCAGAACTGTCCATCACATAGGTTAGGGACCTTCCACACCCATCTAGGACCAAAGGTCTCCCCAAGAATAGTCAGAAGCTTTGGGGTTCCCAGTCACTGTCCCTACACAGATCTGGAGTAAACGCATTAAGAGAACATTATGCTCTACCCCAAGAGTCACCATGCCCCAAAGGACAGGCATGTCCTTTGATGAAATGAGGAGACCCCATAGCTGCCTAAAAGTTGGTTAGGGATCGGATTAGCAAAAGGCAGCCCTGCCCCAACTTCTCAACCCCCTTCAGATGGGCCTGGACTGCTGAATGGAAGAGTCAAGGTCTGCCACCGCCCTCCAGAGGGCCGACTCGACAACCCCAGGCCAGTTCTACCGAGGCTCAGGACGAGGGCCATACATGCCCCTGAGCCAGAAGCAAAAGTCAACAGCAGGAGCTGACGCTCACAAGGGGCTGGTGGTCCATGAGACACACCCAGGTACTAAGTCTGGACGGAGAGGCTGTGGGCAGAGCCCTTGGTTGATGACCTGGGCATCAGGATTTTTTAAAGCTCCGCAGCTAGGGCTGAGAACTGCTGCTAAAGAGTGGAGCTTGCTGGGGCCGCTGCCGTTGCAGGACTAAGGAATGTGCTTTTGTCTAATAAGCTCTCCAGGTGACTCTAGGGGGGCTGCTGAACTAGGACATCGGAGGCCTTTCCAGCTCTAACTTCCCATGCAGGGACAGCAAGGCAATGTCAGGGACATGGTTTAACTCCTCCATGTGAAGTGACTGAACAAGTGATGTGACACATACCAGTTTTATCCTGGAAAAAAAATACATTTGATTTAAGTCCTTGATTCCATCATGGCCTGTGTTCCAAGCTGAGAAAAAAAAGCCATCCTCACCCGGCTGTCCAGCTCTGGGGGGAATTTGGTCTGGAACTGACAGATGGTCCCATCACTGTAGTCTCTCTGGATAAAGACCTTGGTGGCCAGCGAGGCACTTCGCCGCAGCTCCTGCAGATTGTGGACCTGAGGAGGCATACGGGAGACACACACTCAGGGTGACCATCCATCTAGGTTTGTCCAAGACTGGGGGCGTATCAGAATGTGGTTCAGACAGCACTAAAACCAAGAAAGTTCCCAGCAAACCAGGACCTTAGCCACCCTACCCGTGCTCCAGGAAAGCCATGGGGAAGCAGGACTGTGGAGCTTACCAGACAAGATACCTCAAGCTATCCCGGAAAGATCTAGAAAAAGCCTGAAGCAGAGCCAAAGCTGAGCCAAAAGGGGAGGTTCTGGAACCATCAACAGAGCTAGAAACATATTTTAACAAGAAGAAAAGACTTCCTGGTGGCTGGCCCAGATCCTTCTCTCCCTCTCTCTCTCTCTCTCCCTCCTCCTCCCCTCCGCCTCTCCTCCCCTCCCCCCTCATCCCCCTGTCTCCATTTTCCTCCCTGTCTCTCTCACACACACAGAAACTTTCACACCTTTGTTCACTTAGCAACTATCAAATATTCAGAACTCATCAGGCCTCATGCTTGGGGAACCCAACCCTGAACAAGACTGAGGTCTCAGACCCCAGAAGTGGGGCTGACAGCAGAGTTGAGGAGGGAAGCATGTAGGACAGAGGACGACCTGATATGCCCACCACCTTGGAGGGAGATTCAGGTTCAGGCCAAGTTAAAGCCCAGGTCAGAGAGCACCAGGAATAGCTTTCCCATGAAAGAGGGGCCCCCAAATGCCCAAACTTCTCCAGAGAAGATTATGGATAAAGTGGGCTGAAGCCAGAAATTAAAGAAACACCTTGCCCTGGTAGGAAGGAGTGGAACAACTCTGTCCCTCGCCCACACCTGCAGACTTGACATCGACACAGACTCTAGCATTTGAGGGGAGTGGGCTCAGTTCCACAGAAGGACAGGGCCTCTTTCTTCCACTTCCAGCCTTAGCCACCCACATTTGAAAGTAGCATTCCACTGGGTAAAATATGCCAAACATTGGAACCACGTGGAGACCAAGCCCCGAGGGCAGAGTGAACACACAGCCAGTTCATCCTGCGTAATTAAGGTGAATCCATTCAGTCATTCCTTTCATTTATTGAGTCCCTACTACGGCCAGGCTCTGGCAACGCTGGGCAAAAGAAAGTCTGTGAGCTCCAGGGAGGAAGACAAGTAAATATATAATAAATTAGCCTGTGATAAATGGTTCAGAGAAGTAACATCTTAACCCAGAAATGCTTACTCAGAAGAGAATTCCTGAGGTCTGTGTTGAGTCATAAAGGAAGGCCAGGACTTGCCAGTGGTAGAGGGCAGGCAGTGGGTGGGGAGAGGACGTAAAAGCAACCCAGACAGAGGGGAGAAGCTTGTGCAAAGGAGCAAAGATGGCAGAGAACTTGGTCTACTCCAGTGACTGCAGGCAGATTTCAGCAAGACAGGAGTTGGTTTGCGGATTAGGTAAGAGCAGGGGGATGACAGTATAGAGGACAGTGAGATTACAGGGAGCTGGGGGCGGTGGGGAGGCTCTACTAGAGGGGGGTGTAGGGTGGAAGACACTTAAACTTGCTTAAAAGCTGGGGGAAAGAGGGGCGCCTGGGTGGCTCAGTCGGTTAAGCATCCAACTCTTGATTTTGGCTCAAGTCATGATCTCAGGGTGGTGAGATCGAGCCCGGTGTTGGGCTCCACACTCAGCAGGGAGTCTGCTTCAGATTCTCTCTCCCTCTGCCCTTCCTTACACCATACTCAAGTGTGCTCTTGCTACCTCGCTCATGCTCTCTCTAGCGAGTATGGGTACTCTAAAGTAAATAAATCTTAAAAAAAAAAGCTGGGGGAAAGAATAAGTAATGAGAGAGAGGTAGGAGCAGATAATTGGTAGATCAAGGTTCTGAAAAGGGGAGAATCAGAGACTTTCCTGAATCCAGACAACCCTTGCTCTTCTTTTTTTTTTTAAGATTTTATTTATTTATTTGACAGAGAGAGACACAGCAAGAGGGAGTGGGAGAGGGAGAAGCAGACTCTCCACGGAGCAGGGAGCCCGATGTGGGACTCGATCCCAGGACCCTGGGACCATGACCTGAGCCGAAGGCAGACGCTTAACGACTGAGCCACCCAGGCGCCCAACCCTTGCTCTTCATAAGAGAAGTGGTCCCCAGAGTACTGGGACTGAATTGAAGAATGTATAGGTACTCCTCTCATTTTAGCAGTCCTTGATTCCTCCAATCAAGGTCTGGACTGAGAAAGCCCCCTTGACATCCACTAGGATCCTATGATAACTTTGAAAAACAAAGAAAGCTTTGGTGAGGTAAGTACATTATTCATTAATGTGTCTGTTCTGTCTGGTTAAGATTTCATATCTTTTGTATTTTCCAAGGAAAAGGGCTGTGGCCTTCCTTCACCCTTCTAAAACCAACTGACATGAGCCGGTGGATCTTTTTTTTTTTTAAAGATTTTATTTATTTATTTGACAGAGAGAGACACAGTGAGAGAGGAAACACAAGCAGGGGGAGTGGGAGAGGGAGAAGCAAGCCTCCTGCCGAGCAGGAAGCCTGATGTGGGGCTCGATCCCAGGACCCTGGGACCATGACCTGAGCCGAAGGCAGACGCTTAACAACTGAGCCACCCAGGTGCCTGAGCCAGTGGATCTTGAGGATGGATTCCTTTAGCCCCAGAAGGATCATTCAGGCAGCTCTGTGTGAGATGCATGGGAATTGGGCATGACTGGGGTAAGAGGCCAGGTGAAAGGATGCACTATCTTTGTAGTGGTCCAGGGAAACACAAAAGTAGGTCTAAACCAAGGAAAGTGCTGGTGAGAATGGAAAGAAGGGGAGAAAAAAAACAAAAATAGTTCTTCAGCCATTCTGATATGGACTCAGCTTCTACCCTCCGAAAGCCTCCTTTGTCGGTGTGTGAGTGCACACGTGCACTGTGTGCTACCATGAAGGGATGTGTCTCTAGTGACCAGCAAGCTGATGACAACAGCCCTTCTTCTTCCTCCTACGCATACAGTTAGATTAATCCCCAGCCTGCCTTGCAATTAGGTGTGGCCATATGACTGAATGGAATGTGAGGGGAATGTATAGGCTTGGCTCACAGTAACTAGCCACTCCTCTGTAATCTTTCCCCTTCCACAGAAACTAAAGAAACCATATGTTGAAGATGATGGAACCACAAGTTGGAAACAGCCTGGGTCCCTGAATCAGCCTGGAGGAGATCCATCTGCTGGTCAGAATCACTTGTCTGGGACTTTACTGAGCAGTAAATAAACTTCTACTTTAGTATTCCATTAAGATTTTAGGGTGCTACTTTCCATAGTATAGTCCTATCTCCTCTTGGCTTTGATCCATGGGTTCTCAAGTAGCCAGAGTAGGAGGGGTCAACACCCTTTCCAACCTCAAAAATCCTGAGCCTTAGAACACTGCTTCTGAGTGATGAGGGATCTGCTTTCCTCCCTTAGAGTATTTGTGGAGTCTTGAGGAGTCACTAGACGATGGTATCAGACACACTGTATACTCCAGAGACTTCATCTCCCAGATCTATGTAAAGCACAATATAACAGATTCATCTGTAATTGGTGAAGGGTGGATTTAAGGCAGAGCAGCATCTCCTGGCTCTCTCCATCCATGGTGGCTCAGCTATGAAGTACCAAAAGGCCCTGATGGAAAGAAGGCCCACTGACCTGGGAGCTGGAGACCTGGGTGCTAGTCCGAGCCACATGACCCTGGGACTCCATTTCTTCAACTAGAAACTGAGAAGCTGGAACAACATAATCACCTAAAGCCCCTTCCAGCCCTGACATTCAGGAGGCTTTCTCAGGGATTACGAATGCAAATGTTTATAGGGACTAAGCATGTAAGTGGGCTGGGTGAGGGCTGTGGCTAATCAGAGAACTCCTGTCCTGTCTCAGGAAAGCAGCTGCACTGCCATGTGAGAATGTGAGTCCAGGATGCTGTGCTTCTGACATCTTAAGAGAAGCCACAAATCCAGATTTCTTTAATACCAAATATCTTGATTTTTGTTTTATGTTTCCAATAAATTTTTACATTTGTAAGCACGAAGCGGACCAAATAAGGCACAACAGTGAACGAGATTCACTCTTAGAACGGCCAGTTGAGGACCTCTCAATGAAGAATCCCATCACTGGGGCCCTTGGGCCAGAGCTAGAGCCAGGCTCCAAGCACTTGCCAGCTACTTAGCTTTCAGGAAGTGAGTGGGGGTTTTCAGGAGAGATCCGTGATGCTCTGAAATCCTGTAAGAGGATCCCAGCAAATGCACACATCTTACTATGAGGCCACAGCTTCTGTGTCTCCCCTAAGCAGCTCCCCCAGGGTTTCTTAACTGACCCTGACACCTGGGCTTCATGTCTACTTCTTACCTTCCTCAACTCTGCCCTTTCTCCTGCCACTGTCCTCAGGCCTGCTGGCAGCTAAATAAGGACAGGACCAAGAGGCAGTTCATGAGGAAGAAAGAGAACATCAGTGGTCATATCTGCTAGCACCAACTTTCAAACTTCAGTAGGACAGGGATAGGGAGGCTGCCTGAAGACTGGGTCACACACCTGACAGAGCCAACCTGGGAGAGGTGGGGAGGAGCAAGCACCAGAGTTCAGAAGAGCACTCCCAGTCCCAATCTGCCCAAGACAAACAGGAGGCCCCATCTGGCCCACATCTCCATCCTCATTAAAAACTAGCTAATTCCAGAGGATACATTTGAGGCTCAAATCAAGAATCAGGAGATTCAGCTAATGAACCAACACCATGCTCCCTGGCTGGGGTGTGGAGGAGGAGTAAGGATCATGAGTCACAAGCAGCCAAGTCGGGCCTCAGGATGGAAACCCAGGCATAGGGCCTCCCTTCTTCTAAGTCTACACCAGGGCCAAGCCCAACCCACTGTCTGCTGGTTGTTAATTCCAGGCCTCAGAGATCAAACCTCCAAATGCCTTGCTTGGATAATGCTACTTGGGTGCATTTAAAAACCTCTTAGAGAGGGGCATCTGGGTGGCTCAGTCGTTAAGCGTCTGTCTTCGGCTCGGGTCATGATCCCAGCATCCTG